GTATGTTTAATTAAAGGCACCATTCTACCAAATCTGCTGAATTTGATATATTGAGGATGCGAAATATCATTTGCAATAGATTTAACTTTATTTAGGTAACCTCCTCAGGGCAGTGGCGTAACTAGATTATGAGGGGCCCTGGTTCAAGAGTAGTCGGGACCCTTGACGCATGCAAATTGACTGACCATGTCAACTAAGATGTGTATCACCAATCGGTTACAGTAGTTTAAGAACAGGGGTCCCTCCGATTCGTTATACTGTATTGACCATTAATTTTCGCAATTTTTTATTTTCAATTTATTTTAGATGTTCTCGGGGGCCTCTTTGAAGAACCAGCTATTGGCTATATCGCGACATCTCTATGTTCCATTATAAATCATTAATGAATGGTATGTTTGCAAAAGACGGGAAACCCTTAACAATTATAAACCAATGTCAGCGGTATGCCACATAGTAAACTTGTTGGAAAAGAAAGTCCAAGATCAAATTATTACAGTATCTCAATGAAAATAAACTTATAAATATTAACCCAAATACTTTCAGAAAGTACCAATCAAATTTTACAGGCCTTCACCGTGTAATGATTGGCTAGAACCCATTAATGTGTAGATTAAACGAGAACTTACCTGTTAGAAGTTTGATCGATATTTCATGAAGTAATTTTAGTGGTAGAGATTATGTGTTACGAAATGAAATAATATGATATAGCAACATGCTTTATTGATATTGCAAAGTGTTTTGACACAATCATACATTACATACTAGGAAACATTTAAAACTAAATTATTGATGTAGAGTAAAAGAGTTTTTATGGTTCCAAAATTACTTACCTGGAAGGAAGCAAATAGTTAAAATGTCACAATAAAACATTGCTTGATTAAATTTTTTATAAGGGGCGGGACCTTACAGATTGGGGACCCCTGGAGATCAAAGGCCAAGGTTCTGAACCTGCTGAACATGCAATAGTTACGCTACTGCTCACATGTCGTCTTTATCTTCGGCACCTGTTTTCTAATAGCCTGGCATTTTTTGATATTTTTTGTTTGTTCAACATTCTTTTGAGAGAGACTCATACACCAGATTATACTACAAAACGTTATAATAGACTTGATCATTGACTGATGGAACAGAAACATTGAAGTACTTAAGTTTACGTAGAAAATATAACCTTTGATTTGCCTTAGTAACCACCTTAACAGTTGTATTAGTATTCCAGGAAAGCTTATTATCGACCCATACACCAAGGTATCCATTGGTTGCATTTACTCGTTACCGTAGGTCCTATTAATTCTCAGTGACAATAATCTAGAATCTTTCCTTCTAAAACCAAAAATCATTTCCTTAATTTTTGTTTACATTTATACGGAAATAGTTCATTGCACCATTTTACGAAATCGTCTCTTCTTTTCGATAACCTATAACAATATCTCGATCAATTACAAGTCAATCAACAATTTTGACTACTCCTGTAGTCTTCAACGCTTGACATGTCAAGCGTTGACAAACTACAGGACTATAGTAGGTCTATAAAAGAGTGTACATAAACAGAATACTAACCGTTTTGTAGTAATTTTGAATAAATATAAATTTATTTTTAGAACAATTTGGGAGTGTAAAAAATTTCGTCTAACAGGAATTTGATTCAAAACCGAGATCTTCATCTGCTGTAAGATTTTACATTCTACGGTATGCGGATACAGCACTAGTATTAACCTGGACATAGATCACTGTGATACGCCCTCTTTTTAGTTTAATAAACGACAAGACGGGATCTCTGAAGAGAGTGTGTTTTTATGTTAACGTAAAGAGATATTTTCTGTTTGTCGTTTTTCCCCTTTAGTATATTTACACCACCATGCACAATGTGACTGACTGGAACTGTATATCATAAGACAACAGTAGGCTACCATTCTGAAAATGAAGGAGGCGCGGGCAGTGGTGGAGTGGATCCAGGAATTCAAAAGAACGTGATCCAGAAAAGAGAGCCTGAACCCACTATCACAGACCCTATATACATAAGGACATACTGGTCTATATGCCAGAATTGCCTAATTGAAGAATGCTTGCCGTCGAGGAGCTCTCTGTCTACCGACAATGAAAGTACTACAGTACTTAAATATACTAAATTATTACAGTAGGCCTATATATAATATGAAATTGGATATAAAGTAGTGAAATCATAAAAAAAAAAAATCTATAGGCCTAAATATAGTTTCATGAAATTCAACTGCTAAAAAGATTTAAATTAAATTTAACTACAGGAGGCCGATAATTGTATTATACAATATTATGCATGCACATCGCGTTGGACACAGAACGCGCATTGCGTTGGACACGGAATGGCTTCTAAATTCTCAATGCCGCAACTCTATCTACCTATGGCATCTGCTCTTCCCCCTCCCCCAATGGCGCTGCAAATGCATTGTCCAGTCTATGCTTTTTTATATTCATGGTTATGTAGCTTGGTGGCCAAAACGTCATCACTAGAACTCATGTGCCCGTATCGTAAACAAGAAGTTTCTCTTGATGTGATTTGATTTATTGCGATACGTTATGAAACATATAAAACAATTTGTAAACGGCATGAATATAAAAATGAGTAGAATCACGTGGTATCAGGAATAACACTCGAAATCCCCAGAATGGTATTTACATCCTGAGTGTTAGGCTACTCCTAAATCGTACCGCCGCCAAAACAAGGGGAGGTATGGAGTCCAACAACGATTAGGCCTACAATACTTAAACGATTACAGTACTCGACTCTTGAAGCCTCTTAACGAGACTTTATGTATTGTAGGGCATCATGTAGGACCTAAGTACGTTTGGGTTATGTACGGGATTGCCACTTAGGCCTATTAAAGAAGATGGATTATATCGCTAAAGCGAGTCAATGGCTCATTGATATGGTTTCTGGACAGAACGGCAAAAAACCAAAACGGCAATAGGTCAAAACGGCAATGACCAAAACGGCAAAAAACCAAAACGGCAACACTTTTCAACCAGAACGGCATAAGTCAACGGCAAGATCAAAAGGGCAATAGGCCAAAGTCAAAACGGTAATAAACCAAAATTTCCAGAATTTATGTCAAAAGTAAAAAAGCGTGAAAGAAAAAAAAACACTATAAAGAACAACATTAATAATAATAATAATCATAATAATAATGATATATAATGGTAATAATAATAATAATAATGCATTGATGATAATAATAATAATAATAATAATAATAATAGTACAACATACAAATTCAATAGCTAAACAATTTATGTCATAAAAGTAAAAATGCGCGAAAGAAAAAATAGTAATACTGTATATAAATAACACTTTAAAGAACATTAATAATAATAATAATAATAACAATAACAATAACAATAACAATAACAATAATAATAATAATAATAATAATAATAATAATAATAATAATAATAATAATAATAATAACAATAATAACACAATACA